GTCCATGTCTTTGGTAAGCATTCTCTGGATTGTGAGAGAAATCCCACTGCTCGTAAGATTTTAGGGAGCAGAGAACATTAGATTAAATCTGAGATCTGGAAATTTCCAAGAGATTCTCAAAATGTATAGAAAACATAAAGTGATTAGATTACTACTTATTTGAGTAACCATCCAACAAGTTTTGGCAATCTTGTCCGAATTTGACTATCCAATAAACTTTCCGTTTGTTTAAGTGTAGTTTTCAGAATTGTATACATACGACATACAGACAATAGTCACATATGCATTTCTTTATACTAGTTTGTATCATTGAACTGTGTACAAGGTATACTTTATGTGAATCGTCAGAATAACAATTTAGCAAAGCTTTGATTTTGAAATCAAGTTGATACTTGTTAAATCATGATGTTAATGTATGTATGATTGACATATTTAATTATCTATAGAGCTGAAATAAAGATGAAGATAAATAAAAAAAAGGCACTATATTTTTTTACTAAAAAAATAAAAAACTTTTATCTTTTCAAAAATATTTTAAAATTCTTTCCAAATTAATTTATCAACTTAATGAATTTTCAAAATCATTAATATTCTTTTTTTTGCTTTCAGACGCAGTCAAATTTTAATATATTCCTTCATGATGATACATATTTTTTAGAATTAAATTACGTACATTTTTATTTTTTTCCTTAGCATTGATTGAAGGTTAGGCAAAAATTTGCTTATGGATTGATGGGATGGTAAACCTCAACCACGTCTTGCATCTGCTAGTGTACAACTATATGGTCATGTTTTGAATCTTGTTGGAGCAAAAAATGGTATTAAATATTTATTTATTTTTGAAATTTGAGTTTAATAATTTCTGAATATTATAGCAAGTGATAAAAAAGTTCTAAAATTTCTATTATCTTCATGAATATCAAAAGTTGATTTCTTTTTTATAACTAAATTTTTCTACTCGCAGATTTGATACTTTCAGTTCTTTGCATGATGATTTTGGAAAAAATTAATTCTTTATTCATATTTAATTTTAAAACTTAAATTTTTTTCAAAACAATTTTACAAGATTTTTTATCATATATATCAAATCATAAGTAATCAAAATAGAATTCTATCTATCAAAATTTTGAAATCTATTTAAAATTTCATTCCTTTAAATATAACGCATAAATTTATCCAAAATTATGAAAAGTTTCAATATAAAAATAGAAATTTCTATGTCAAATTTTCAAAGAAATATTTATTTATTTAATATGTTATGTCATTTTATAATTCCTTTCATTTGTCTGGTGAATTTGAAATGATTAAATTAAAAAATATTTAGATAATGAATGATCTTGTTGATGATTTTTCATGGATAAATGATACACTCTCAAAATGATGAATTTCTTTAGATTGGAACTTTGCAGTTTAAATTTTGAAGATTAGGTTTAATAATAAATTATGGGAGCCACTACTTATCACTCAGTTTATGCTAATTATCCTTCACTCATAATTTTGTCGATATTCACCGCCAATTAGTTTTTTATTACTCGTTTGGGTGGTGAGGTTATGTGTGTTCCAGAGGTGACACACAAGACCTTTATCACAACAGCGTAATCCTGACTCAAAGCTTAAACTTGCACTACCGATAGCGTAGCGTTCAATGTTGAGTGTATAATGTCCGGAAATGAAGAGAGCGTATTCAATTTAAAATGAGATATTTACGACCAATTACAAACCTCACCTCTTATGCAATTTATAAAAATTTTATAGGGTGAGAATAATTAGCATAAATTGAATTTTAACTAGCCGCTACCTAATTTATATATGCCAATTGGTGTTTGTCTAAATATATCATTTTTTGGTAGCTAAACTATTCCTCATCAATGGTGATACATAATAATTGTATTAAATAGAAAGATAGCAAAAACCATTAACTTTCAAGTTTCAATATCGAGAAAAGTCGATTACAAATTGAGTTAAAATGCCAGAATTAAAAAATCCAAATTCAATATTCTTAAACGGACCAGTAAATTGTAAAGAGTCTTGTCAGATGTCGAAAACGTAGCACATGTAGTGTGGTGTGATTATGTAGACGACAGTGCTTCAAATTGTAGTGTGTTTCATTCTCTTGATTGTCCATACATCTGAAAGTAATTTAATTGAGTCAATGGTTGCAGGGGACATGATATGTGCAGAGCTTGTGCAGAAAGTATCATCCCATCTTGATTTTGTTCGCATTTTTATTCCTGATATACAGTCAACTTTTAGGATAATCAGTTTGCAACGTGCATTTCATGCCCAAAGAGCGATCTCTGGTTCTAGAATTACACTTGCTCCTCAGCTGAATTCAGTAAATGAATTTTTTGGATGCGAGGTTTGAAATTGAAATGAACTTGTTGTTTATAAGAGGCACGAGAAAAAGTTGGCTTTCAACATTGTAGTTAGAAAACATCATTTGTCGAGGAGTTCCGCCAGATGTATCAGAGTTCCCAGCAATATATCTATGTAGTATCCTCCTTAAAAAGATGAAATGTGACGGTTCTTTTCTCTTCTCTGGTGGAACGCTGATGAAAACGAGGAAGGGAGTTAAGTAGCCATAAACTTCACAACAGTTGTAGATTAGAGCCACTTTCAAGGGCTCTGCAATCAATAGTCAACTACCATTGAACCGATCGTGAAGTTTTTCTTAGAGAGTATTATGAATTATGTTCTAATTGCTTTCATGGCTGGTTTGCTTATTTCTCCATGTCATTGGAAGAAAAGCAGCAACTTAATTAAAATCTTTAGTACGGGCAGATTTTTCCAACTCCAAAGTGAATTCTCGAGGCCAAAAAGATGTCCCTTTTCAAGGGAACCACATCACAAACCCAGAGCAAACTTTTAGATGGACCGGACCCTTCATTATGCTAATACGGAATGGAGGAGTACCGACCATCACACATCTCTTCGAAGCTGATGCTGAAAGCTAATAGCTTGGTACAGATCACATCCGAATTTTGTCGGTCTTCATTGTTGAAGGTCGAATCATCGGGAGAAAAAGGTTACCAGCCAGTTTTTAGCTATATTAATAAATTCAAGCGAATGCCAAGGACGAGGCATCTTTTCCACTCTCATTTCAGAAACTCAAAAGACTTTACTTCATCATATTTTTGAATCCTGCTTTCCATCATCCACTCCATAGCGAGTCGTGATTTTTTGCCAGATCCTTCGTTACAAATGTGTGAATTGGAGTTAGCTCGGCGCAGGACAATGAACTTCCCATCTTGCGTTAAATGGTCACGCTTCAGCTTTGATGCTCATAACATGAGACAGAAGCGACCAATGATAATAATAGGAGCCTTAACCAAATTGGCTATAAAGTTTTCTTTAAAACACTAGTGGAGATGGGAGTCGGTCAGTATATGGCGATTTCGTCATTCACGTAAAGGAAATTGGTCACCTGCAAATATGTCTGTGGCCCACACATTTACAGAGTCAAGAAAGAAAGTGGATTCTCTATCATCGAGAGACTAAAGCAAAGCGCGTGGAGAAAGTAATCTGACGAAGGTATAATGTTAGGATTTGTGTGATGCAAGAAGATGACAATTTCCACTTGCTGTCCCCGCCCTCATTTCTTTTGAAGGCTTCTTGACTAAGAAGACATTGACAAGAGTCAGCTTTCAGATTGCTTTTCTTCACGTCTTCACGGTGATTTGAGTTCTTTGGGTGAGAGTATATTTCTGAGGCATCTATTCCTACGTTAAATCAAGTTACGTCCTCCTGTCTTCCCTCCTAGTCTGAGAGTTAAAAAAGATGCATTCCTTCAAGTGCAGATTCTTAGAGTGAAGCGTTCCGATATTTTGACACCCCATTTTAAATCTGGTGTAAACCACAACAGGAAGAAGATAAAAAAGAGAGTACTGTACATGTGAAGGCCTTGGTCGTGTTTATAAGTAATAAGAAGATGAAGAAAAGACACAACAAGCTGTCTTAGACATGATAAAACAAAAAGGGGACGCATGGAATCAAAAAACGCGATTGAAAGCCAAATACAAAGTGGAGGCCACATGCCCGTGAGAAACGGAGGGAGGTACTGTTTGTAGTGATATACGTCCATCCCTCATACAGTTTGAGTCATACTGCATCTCTTATGTTGGTGTGGATCGGTGGTAACCTGAAGGTTTGAAACGATTTTATTTTTTTATTTCACTCCACTTCTCACTGATTGTTGAAACATCAGAGATTAGAGAGAAGGTCAATTTAGAGGAGGGTTGAGATCAAAAATACGATACTGTGGGTGGTTGTGCAAGATACCCACGGTTCTTGTAAACATCTTGAATACCACAAGCTTAAGCACTTAGCTGAAAATAGAAACACAAACCCAAATGGGCCAAGTAACATAGTTTAAGTTTTGTACTGAATAGGTGAATGAAATTATTCATTCAGACCAAGTTATATTAACTGAATATTCATTCCATCACATAGGGCAAATCAAGGGATCCGACCTCCATAGCTGCTTGTAAGTATTGATACTTCTGAGATGAGCAGCAAAGCAACAGTGACGATACTTTTTAACTGCTAGATATTCTGAATAATTCTGTGAATAGAAGTTCCATCACTCATGGGTTACAGCCTCAACATGTTTCCCAAACTTACTCTTGCTAACAAGAGTCCCAAAGATTGAGTTTGTAAAAGCAACAATGCAACTCCCCCTCTAAACCTGCCACGACTTCAGAAATATCAAGGCCGTAATTAGCGGGCCAACGTCTTGATGAGCAAGCGGTACCCTGAATTCTCGTGTACAGTTCTAATTCCCTGGTTACCCCAGATCTAGATATGTGTTGTATATACAAAAAGTACGCGAAGTTCTTGGATGAGTTCTGAACGTAATTGCAAAGTTAACCAGGTGAACGAGGATCTAACAGGCTTAGTGCTTCCAAGTTGTTTCTTATGCAAGTTTTGTGATAGATTATCCACAAAGTCCACACGTCATTCCACCGATGACTTAAACATCAATATGGTACGTGGTTGGTGACAGATGAAGAACGTTCAAAACTATCAAATATAGAGCAACGAAACCGTGAGTTGTCAAGGACATATACTTTTTGTTTGGAAGCACTGAACTACACAACAACTTGAGGACATGTAGTGGGGGGAGAAAGTAAGATATTCACAACTTTCTTAAATCAGCAGATCAACAAAGACGAGTCACTCATAAGAAACAAACATGGTCATCGCTGAAAGATCGCTCGAAATAAGACAGGAAAAAACGACGTTCTGGTTTAAACGACACACGGTACTAGTTGCTTGCTACACATCCTGGCTACGAAATTATTTTTAACAAGATAAGTCATGACTTGAGAGGAAGTGTCACCTTGTCTATCCAAGTATGCCACCTGTGGATAGGTGAGCCAACTAGTGAGAACACATATGTGGGGAGTTACACTTGACTTGATCTAGCAAACTCGATGACAATCACATCTTGCAGCTCTTCCATATGCGATGCAGCAAAGCATCCAATTATCCGGTGATCTTTGTCTGCCTAAATCAGTAAAAGAATTTGACTTCCAAGATTCTTCCCGATTTCCCCGACAATGTGTAGAGAAGGCTATGCAATTAGAATCGACTAGAAGTGAGTACCAGAAGTTGCTACAATCATTACATGAACCTCTTGATTATTGACTAAGAAGCGATATTCATGTGGGTACACCTGAATTCTCCATTATCTTAATAAGCACCGACGTTCTTATTAATTCGCTCATTTGTTTCTGAAATACATAACAGTAATTCAGGACATCAGTGGAGCGTTGGGGTATTGAAGCTGAACACCTGGTTTGTGGACAGTAAGAAAGATATAAAAGGATCGACTATTTTCTACAAAGACCTGTAGAAGACTATTGACAAAGTGTGCATGCCTGCCAATTATCGGCGTTGTTGATTTATAGAGTCTTTGAAGAAGAAAAGCATCGATGCAAGCACATCCATCGTATTCGGAGAGGTTATTACGGAAACTGAGGTCTCCATAACCCAAACAAGATGCCATGATCACGAAACGGGGTTAGTACAAGATCGATTGAGATTTCAAAGCATCGATAGGACTCACATCCTGCACGCACGAAAACAGCTGGGCATATTCATACCGGAACATGGTACAATATCGGGTCCACCATGTCTCAAAGTAAGTCGTTCAGCACACTTCGTTCTCCAGATCCCTACATCTAACTATTGTTTCTCCCACAAATTATGGTCCAAAACTTCATGCACAATGTTAGCTTAAGATTCACTCAAGGTAGTCGTACCAAAGGATGACTTGGAGCATCGATGATGACAGAACCTGATCGTGTACATCGGATCCGGTTCTGAAATGTCTAATAATGAAGAAAGCTTCAGCTTAAACAAAAGGCGTATAATATGAATAGTGAGAATACCATTAAAGCTACATCCTATATTTGTGATGTGTAGATGAATATAGGCTTGGGAGACAATCACGTCGGCCCTCTGTCTCGTTTTGTAGAAACCACTTTGTCCAGGTAGGAAACGCATGCTCTGAGCAAACCCTTAGATGGTCTGAAGAAATATACTTATTTTCGAGCAACCGTATTCTCCAGAACCAGCAATATCATGTGCTCTGCTAAACGTCATGAACGATGTGATGTTTCAACTTTGTCTGGAATCGTTTTTGGAAAGTCGGCTACTAACTTGCTGAATCGAATCTGCAGATTAGTTTAGTGTTATCGTTAAGAAGAAAAAAGAAAAGAAAAGGGGAAACGGACCTAAAGCTTAGGGTATTGAGAACGAATCAGCTTAAAGAGGGAGATAAACGAATCCCCTCCAGAGATGGCTTCAGACAGACATACATACTTACGTGCTACGGCGGAAATGTTGACAAATAAGTTTTTCAAATGGAAGATTATCCGCTGCTAATTCGCTACTTCGAGTTGAACACCCAATGCCTCCCGCTTGTCCATTAATCATTGGTTCGTAATCTTTTCAAGTTACGAAAATAATTTTTAAACGTGCAAGTTCTTGGCCATCTTGGCCATCACCCTTCTTTTCGATATCCTTTACACGTCAAATATGTGAAGGACCAACAATACACACCGCTCAAGACACAAAGGGCAATTTTTTTAAATCGCGGGGTTAATACGATAATCTATAGAGAACAACCGAGCGTCGTAAGCAGAAAAGGCAAGGATGACATGTAAATGATTGCAGGTGTGCGTGCAGGAATGCATAATACAACGGGCTGAGAGAAAAAGAAGAAGGAAGAGAAGAGAAGAGAATGAATAACGCACACGAATAGGAGCTCCGCGAGAAGGGCTTTCTCGTTCTCACCTCCGAAAACCGGGCGCGAGCCAAGAACCTTGTGACACCTGCGAAGCAAGAGGTGATCATGAAGGAAGAATATGACTCCATCGCGAGAGCGAGCGAGTAGCGCAAACATGTCGAAGCGGAGAAGACGCGGCGTACCGAGGTCACACTGCGCAGCCTGCGAGCCCACAGGCGAATGGACCGGAGGTCCGCTGCACGACGGATGTGTCCGGGCCGAGGGCTTTTGGCCCTGTGGTCGACGCCCACGCAGCATCTACACTCTTCCGCCACGCGTCGCCGTCAGCATCAATCGAGGGCCCCGTGTGTGATGACGACCAGTGTGGAGGACGAGGAAACCCGACGCAACCGTGTCAAACACAGTCCGTCAGGGTCCCGGTCCCTGTCACCGTCACAGTCACAGTAGTAGTTACCCCGAATCCAACTTCCGTCACTGGGCCCCTCCGCCGTTCCATCCGTCGGTGGCGAGATTTCACCGCTCGGTAAAGCGACCTTCTGCCGACCGTCTCGACCCCACTCTCCTCTCTCTCTGGACCCCTAGCGGGTCCCAAAAACATGAGCCGTAGACTGAAAGTTACGGACAGCGTCCGGTTGTCCGGTAAAGTTGGCCGGAGACGACGAATCTAGGTCGCTGCGGAGATTATAAGAGGGAGGTGGACGCTGGGGACAGCGGGAGTGAGCAAACATTCAGACAGTCAGTCAAAGAGAGAACAGTGAGCCCATCAGCACGACCAATCGACATTGAATCGATCGCGAGAGCGCACGAGATCGAACCATTCTTCGAACTCAATTCTTGGATCTCCTGATCCATTCCGTCAGAAAGGGGTCTAGTTGTAGTGGCGTAGATAGTAGAGCTCGCGACGTGTGTAGACAGCGTAGAGAGGGATTAGTTCCACTGGTGCCTGAGCATCTACCGTGATTGCCACTTTGCCTGCCTGCCTGCTTCTGGAAGTGGATTAACGAACGATCTGCTTTTCAGAGTTGACTGGAAGACCGGATTGAGGTGAGGTGAGGGAAGGAAAGGTGAGCTAGATTGGATCCTGAGTTACTGCTCCCAGACGTCTGATCGCTGTGGTTGAGCTTCAGGACCTTTCCGTCGGGTGAATTGTCGGGTTCGGTATTTCGTCGTATCGCCGGGTGGAAGATACAAAAGAGGGAGAGGAAGGTTGATCAGGGCCGCAGTTGAAGAGTTAAGCCGAGTGCAGGAGCGAAGTGTGCAGCAAGGTTGCCTTCATTCTAGCAAAGCGACAGAGGTCAGAACCAGAGCTTCCTCTGTAGACACAAGGACTTCCTCTTCGTACAGGACTTCGCGGGGATCTTGATCTTGGTTGATTTGGGAATCATTGCAAGGTAAGCGAATTGCTCTGAAAGAATCGGTCATTCTGTGTACGTTTGGGTGTTTGGATCTGAGGATCGAGGTTTGTGACGGCGGAGGGCTCGTGCAGTATGATTCAAAATCTTCTTCGTGCGGACGAGCTACGTTGCGAAGTTGAAGAATTGAGACCGGCAACCGCCGTCATAATTTGCTCGTTGCAAGCTTTGAAGAAGCGTTCCTTTTGTAGCGTGCACAGGCTTTGATTCTCTTTGAGCCAACTCTGCCACGGTGATTGTTGTTGGCTGCTTGAAGTCACTGGGAGAACCTGTTTTAATTGATTCAGTTTCTTGATCAGACCTTGTTGGAGGACGGCAGAATCTCTGCTGCTGATATTCTACATTTTGAAGTAACTGTTTTAAAACTTTGTGTAATGGTCACGTAGTCATCTCGTGTATTGTGGGTTAAGATCATCACCATAATAACGTGGAATATAATAACCCGAATTCTGAGAATTTTATGCCTATTTGCAGTTTGTCTTCCGAATCACCAATCATGGCGGACACCGGAAACGTACACGTCATCGATTCCAAGGAAAGTTGGTCTTCAATACTGGCAGACGGTGCGACGCACAAGAAGACGGTAAATAGCTACTTCTGGACTCTGCCACTCTAATCAACGCTTCTGTCCTGACTTTGGTTTTCAGTGAGTCTTCTCACCAGGACATACTTACAATCGTTGCACTGTCTATCACTCTGACTATCTGCTGTGGGGCTTGACAGATTGTGGTAGACTTCACTGCCACTTGGTGTGGACCATGCCGCTACATGTCTCCAATTTTCACAGAGCTATCAAAGAAGCACGAGGACATTGTGTTCTTGAAAGTCGACGTGGACGAGTTTCAGGTAATTGGAGTCAGATAGAATCAGATATTCTTCGTAGTGATATTATGCCCACTCACGCATTGCTCTTTCTGCATCAATTTGTCGCGCTCTTCTTGCATTGGTTAATCTAGATGGGCTCTCTGCCATGAGGTGTCATGATTGCTAGGAAGGCTGATGCCATCTTCCCTGCAGGAAATTGCGTCGGAGTGGGAGGTTCGTGCCATGCCAACATTTCTGTTCATCAAGGACGGGAAAATTGTTGAGAAGATCGTTGGAGCGAACAAGGATGAGTTGGAGTCGAAAGTGAGATTCTTCGCTGCGGAGACACATACAGCGACCGGCCATGAACAACATGCCCACCAAGATCACAGTCATGCTGTGCAAATAGCAAATGCCCAGGCGTGACCGATGTCTTACAGCAAATTCTAGCTTCAAAAGCGCTGTAAACGTGTTGACAATGTAGAGCAGCCGTTCAAAATTTGGGATCGACTACTTTTCGGGCGCATCTGGTTACCCACCTTTGGTTTTCATCCTTCTCGATAGTTTAGATGAGCCGCAGATACGTGAAGTTCAACTCCCTTCATAGTCTGTAGAAAGAATGTCATGGTAGAACACTGTAAATTTTTTTTCCATACTTCAGTACCTCCTTCGTCTCCCAGCCGTTGGCTGTTAGTGGCCACAGTTGTTTCAAATCAAGACACTAGCATCAGAGGGAGAGTTCTCCAACTTGCTCTTCATCCATCAGTATCTTTCGTATTCAGCTTAGCTCTCAAAAAACTGGATGAAAAGACTCGTTGGGGTTAGTTGTTTTCCGATTTTATTTCAAATTACAAAATTCATTCACTCTCGTCAAACAACCTCTTGGGATGGATCCAACACGGATCAACTTCCATGCGTTGATTTCAGCGAAGAAAGGACGAATTTCAAGTACAACTCGTGTAATCTTCTAAGAAATCTTTTATCTCACTTCGATCCGGAAAACGTTTGTAGTCTGAGAAACTCCAGGTCATCTTCGACATGAGGTAAGGTGGAGTTTGCGATGTTGGAGAAATTTAGTGCGGAAATGTGGAACACTGTTTCGTATACGATTTTTTTGCTACTTTATTTCTCATCCATTTGTTTTCTTACTCTTTTCTTACCTCCCTTCCGTTTAGTTACAATGGTTTCAGATCTGAAAGACGAATTTAAGGCTTGACTTGACGGGGAGAATTCGATAGATATCGTTTTCGATTAAGGCCAGTTTCGGCCAGTTTCTACACAAGTCATTTGACTGTAAAGTCCACGGCGTGGGAATATTTAATTTAGAAATCAGCATGTAGTCAGCAGAGTCCGTCATCTGTACCTGCTGAAGTCGCTTTGCCCCGTTTGCGATGATTCTGGACATGAGTCCGATCCATGATGCGCATACCGTAACAAGGACTGTACTTTTACTCTTGGTCCACAAACTGTATAAAGGACATTTCATGAACGCGAAAGTCTCCAGGTTTCCACCTTTTGTTCACCAGCACGGACCCAAAAAAACAATTGTAGTTACGGACCGCTCAGGTTTTCCTCTGCTAGCCAAGTGTACTACTTATGAAGTTACTCAAACGGTCTGTGTCTGTAGGTTAGCTGTGAATATATTCGCAGCTTCTACTCAGACATCCTTCTAACTTGGGTATCGTCAGATCGCGACTTGGCGTTCAAAAGAACTTGATCTCCCTTCAAGGAAATGATTCTATTATTCTAAGCAATCGAAAACGTTGCAGTGCTTCTCCACTAAAGCTCCACGAAATCTGAAATAAAGGCCAATTTACAGTTTTGAAGCTATAATACTTCGGATATTAGACCTACCGAGAGCGTTGCAAAGCAGATGTCAGAAATTCCCTGGCCACATTCAGATCGAAAGAATGCTGGACATCTCTCCGCGCTTGTGTACCAAAATACGTAGTCTACTCTTGATTGTAGCTAGTTTTGGGGCCTGGAGTGCTTCTCTTTTCTTTAACCAATACGATTAGAAGCTACGATACGAATAAAAATCCTCATTATTGTTTGGTCCTTCTGGACGGACTGCCCGTGTTATCAATGGACTGTTTCTCTTCACTCGTTCTGCCAGGCCATCACCATGCCAAGTCAGTCTTCTCGGCGGCCTCATAATCTCAGTTCTTTATTCTACAGACTTCTGGAATTCTTACTCTACTTAAACTAGGTGTTAGAAATATCTCTTGTTTACACATATAGATTTTGTTTCTTAAAGGTGCGATATTTGACTCGTAGCCAGTCAGATACACGCACGTCGAATACTATAATTAGTGGAGGACGTATGAGATGGAGATATCAGCTCACAGTATATGTTTATCTAGAAATGCATATAACGATCGTGTAGCCGATACATAATAATATATTGCCATCAATGCGAGCGTTACGTTAATATGTAACTTGAAATATGTAGTACGGAATGATTCGGCACATGTATTCCATCTGGAAGATTTCATCCCGTAAAGAAACCATTGACAATGAACACTATAGTGGATATGTCTCGCATGAGGACATTGATAATGATATATTTTTTCTGGTCATCTTTACTTGTTTCAGAGAATATTGTGGACTCTTTTGTTGAAAATCATTCTATTAGTATGAAGTTCCCAGAATAATCATATTATATAGTCGAATTTTAGCAAATATATGTTTGTTGAGGATGTATATCTGCTATCCTTCGTTATGAAGGATAGCAGTATCGTTCGTTGTTGACATAAGCAAAATGTTGCGAATGTGAACAAGTATATGTTTGTTGATTATATTCATTTGCTATCGTTCGTTATGGAGCTCTTTTGCAGATTGTGATATTTTTGCCAGGTTATATACAATGTCGGCCATGATAATAAAGGATTCAGCAAATCTTTGATCGACTGAATTTCAAGCTTCATATCGTGAACTTTGAGGTTCTGATAAGGTATTTTTCACGGATAATCAATATGTGAAGAGGTAAACTTATTAATCAAGTAAAGATACTCTCTAGCATTATTTTCTAGATGAATTCAGCGATGTACTTTATTTCCAGTATTTCACAAAGATGTAGTTTTGAACAGGTTTCATCCTTGATATCTAAACGAACATTATTTTTCTTACATATGACATTGTATGCGACCACAGGACTTGTATAGCAAAATCTGGCATGAAAATTTATCAAATTCCACTTCGTACGTAGCTTGACTTAAAATTGTTCACTTATTTTGACAAATCAACAAATTTAGAAATTTAATGATTTTGGATACCCTTGATGTAATATAAATTATTTTCAGAAAAGTATGCATGATCATAGATCTTCACTTTATAATGCATGAATATTCTTTGATTGAAATAAAGATTAGCCTACAGTGATAAATTTATCCTGGTTTGACTCAACTGTTTGCATCTTCAATAGTTCAAAATGAATGTGATGAATTCTCAAATGCAACAAAAGTCCATCTTCATTTTGATGGATTCTAGTTCTTCATTTAGAAATATTTATTTCATTTGAGACAAAAGATAAATATGCATGATGTCTTTAGTCATGTGATTTTAATTGTTGCAAGAAAACATGAACAAATGATATAAATAAAGTGTTTTTATGTCTTGCATATGATTCAAGCCAAAGAAGATTTTAACTTTAGAATTGTGCTAATGTTTGAATATTACTTTAACATACATTGCATTTCACATTATTTTTGAAAAATGATAATGGACAATTCTCTATAATAATAGATAAAGCATAGAGTGGCAATCAAAAAAATTTCAAACATATATTAACGCAAACAAACATGTTATCTTGTTTATCAAGCTTTTGAAATTGCATGAATGCAAGTTTCAGCAATTGTTTGAAATTCTTTAAGGTTAATTATATCTAATCTAACATGATGTATGATTCATCATTTAATATTTGAATCTATTTCTCTGCAGAATCACTTGTCTAATGCAATTCATCAATTCTTAAGTTTTAAATCATAAAATAGCAATCACATTATTCATGAATCTTTAGACTAAATGGTTTAAAACATATGAATATATTTGACATAGTTGAATTTATTATTAGTAGTCTATTCACATCCTATTGATTTCACATATGATCAATGTGATACAGTTTTGCACTATATTGTTAAATTTTCAAAATAATCTTTCGCATCAAATTATGAATCCAAAAAATTATCTAAATTTCATAGAATGTAAGATTCATAGCAATTTCAAGAAAATTACCCCACATTTTTTGAAAAAACTACGAAATTTTATCCACTTTTAAGTAATGAAAATTTTATAAATTATGCACACAAAATTTTTATTATAAAAACGAAGTCACATACTTAACTTGTTATGAATTGTGAATGCATAATTTGATTGTATAGATCTATAAAAATGTTAAGATTTATTTCATTTTTTAAAAAGATGTATATTTGTTCTTTCCAAGATGCAACACTTTTCATTAAGTTGTAAGTGATAGAAGTATGTTATAATTACAACAATAAGGAAGATAATCACTCTAGCTTTTTTGGATTATCAAGCTATTCGCTATAAAACATGTAAGTTGTTTGTTGATAGGATAGAAAGAAACTCATGTGATCAGAAGATCCAACCGTTGCATAGAGTCACAAAAACTATTTAGTAAAGCATTATGTACAACTTTATCACATCATACTCAATAATTCGAACATATGTGATTCTTGGTTATTGGAAAGTATTATTAGCAAGTTCAAAGTAAGTGATTTTGATGTGAAGCTAAGTCAATTATAGCTGAGCACATGATGTTGTTGTAGTATAAAATAAGTTCAAGTAACACATGCATTAACTCAAGTTGGAGAACATAAAAGTATTCAAGCTTAAATGCATGGGATTTGTTATTATAGTCATTTTTCAACCAAAATACTTTTACTCAACTTCATCTCTTATTGTTACACTTCAATCAGTTCTTTCAAAGTACATAGAGTTGCAAGCAAACATATTTTTTCCAAAAGAAAGAAGTAAGAATATAGGAGAACTATTCATAAGACTAGATAAAAATAAAAGAATTTCTAATTGAAATTGACTCAAAAGGTTACATTGTAACCAAATATTTTATTGAGCATGAAATCAAACGCACAATTCACAAAGTTAACACGAGATTATAATGCAGAAGTAAAGTCGACAATTTACATATGTCTTCATCAGGCCATGTCCACAAAAACACCTCAGGCTTTATTGAAAATAATTTTGAAAAGTGTCACCAATAACTTGAGTGAGCTCTTTTCTATAATGACAATAAAGCCCATTTAACTTACTTTAGTTAAGTCAAGACTTGAATTCAATACTAACTTACTAACTAAAACACCATGTGTACTCCAAAGAGATTTACAAGCACATAATTTCACAAATATTTTGATTTTTCAACGCTAATTTTTCCAGAATTAATTTTTCTAATAGTCCTTTATTATGATATTTTTTAGAATTAGTCAAATGAAAATATTCTTGGATGTAGTGTAATCGAGTTATATCCATTTTTTACTCTGTGTAAATTTTATTCTTATAACATTCAGTGTTCTTTATATGTTTTTAAACTCTCACACATGATTTGTTTGCTTTGTAAAATATCACTTTGAGAGTTTTGAATATATTTACATTTTATTCTATGATGAAGTTTGTATTTTAAAAACTCAAATCTAGTTTTCATCATTATTTACATAAAAATACAACACAAGTTCTTTAGAAAAATAAAATATTTTCATGTGAAACAATTAAACTTATTTATAGCATACATTTTCAAATAATTTTTGAATATTTATGTATTTAAAAATCATTTAGAATTTTTTTACTATTTTGATATAGACGTATTCAATATATAAAATTATTTTTATTTGCAATCAATATTTTTGAGAATCCATACTAATCCATATTCTTGTGCATTCAGTTTGATTCAACTCTGAATTTTTCT